CGCTTTTCCTCATTAGAGATTTTTAAGTTCTTACATTTAATTGAACTTCTTTGTCTCTTCTTTTGGTGTTTTACTCCGACTAAATTCTAATCATAGCTGTTGCTTGTTAAAGGCAATGGGTATTTTGTTGGCAGGTGCATAAATAACATCCCTATTGCTTCTGTTGTTTGTATTTCTTTTCCATATAAAATGTGTCTTCCACAATTGAAGCTACTGATCATCAATCTACTGGCCAAGCATTTCAAGTTTCGTGTTTAAGATCTTCTTATGATTTGTAGACAGAACCGTATATTGTATTCGGCATGGAGAATAGGACAGAGAAACTGTCTAAAATCGANACACACACACACACACATATATATATATATATATATATATATATATATGTGTGTGTGTGTATATGTATATATATATATATATATATATATTATTTATTTATTTCTTTCTTGAATATGTCTTCCACAATTGAAGGTTACAAATCATCAATCTACTTGCCATGCATTTCAAGTGTTTAAGAACTTTTTATGATTCGTAGACAGAACCGAATATCGTATTCAACATGGAAAATTAGACTGAGAAGTCTAAAATCCAGACATAAAGACACAGCTGTATATGTATTTTCTTTTGGTTATATGCATATTTGACACATGAATATATGTATTTGGCTATTACATACATACAGAAAATAAATAGTCTACACATATATACATATATGCACACACATATATACAAGGTTTGATGATTATGAGGTGGCTGCTCATTGAGCAAAATGAGCTGCCAAGAGAAAGAGGTGATGACGCTCACACCATCCGATGTGACTAGCAGGGTGGGCCTCACCACTAGCCTATCTCATGGTGACTCATTTTGCTAAATGAGCCATCATCTCATACTCAGTTTTTTTTCCATTTATATGCGCACGTACACATACTGTTTAAGGTGTGTTGTTTTAGATTTGCAAGAAAGCGTTTGTAATTAAACTGATACTTCTATTTTAATCATCGTTTTAAATATCCCCGACATAGCCAAATATATCGACTGATATATCTTTTACAGGGTTTGTCGCAACCGATATGGTATATAAATATTATTTACCATTTTTGGCTATTTTGGGCCATATTTCCTCGATATATTAGCCAATACATGGACCGATATATCTTTTTATATGTCTTGTCACAAAATAATATATCGTGTTTGGCAATTTTTGGTCGAGATATCATGATTTTCCCATTATATCAAATGACATTTTGGCCTAAAAAAATAGCCAAATGTTGCAACGTTGATTTGTATTCTGTTTGTTTTACAAGGGTGATCAGTGTTCCTAAACATATATTATGTATATTTTGTATGCTTAGATTTTATTACATATGTTGAGATTACATTTCAGTGCATTATACTATAAATGCAAACATCCATTATGGTATTCCTATATTTACGACATATCCATGATATTTCCCCAATATCCGCAATCCAATATGAATTTGGGTCATCCGATATTTCTCCGATATCCGATATTCAAAACCTTGATTTTAATAATAACAAATCCCAACAGTTACGTTTCACTAAAAGAAACTTCTCACTGGTCCCCTCCAAAAAACGGACTTCAACTATAGATCCCATTTTTCTACTCTTATGCCATCATCTCGGGAAAAAACCCTTAAAAACCATTGTGCTTACAGTTTTATACTCAAAACATGCATAACCCCTTCGATATTTTTCTCTTTGTGAAGCTTTACAACCTTCCATGACTTGATGAGTTTGACAAGATATCTATGTGGATGGAGTAATTGTGGAGGACTTTCTAATCTCTATTTTCAATTGATCTAATCTTAGAGTTGGTCACACGACTCCACCAGCTCCGCATTGGTAAAGTGGTGATGTTCTCACTTCTCGAAGTGTGTTGAATTGATGAAGAGATATTAGGCAGGGATATAGCGAAGATGGAAGAGGGTCTTGTTGAGGTTAAGGTGAGAGAATTTAGTCTGGAGGTGGTTAACGTAATGAGGGTGCAGAGGAATAGTAACGGCCTGTTTTCCTTCAATTATCAGTTTTAGGGACTTTGTTTTGGTTCAATGATTTTAAATTAGTAGATGAGCAGCTATACTGACAAGGGGAGTTTCACAAGCTTGTATCAATCTTAAATAAAGGGGCTATATGTGCGTCACATACAACACACTAGCTATAGGCTGATGTGACACACGACCTCATTTTTCCCTATTTGGAATGCTCTACAAAAAAAGAAAATAATAATAAATAAATAAATGTTAGCTTTTGACATTGGAGGAATGACCAACTTCATTTTGTATCCACTTCCACAATGATTAGAGGCTTTACTCATTGTTGACTGTTGGACATGTGCTCTGGTGTTTTAAACTTGTCAATTTTCATTAGGGGGAGCGTCCTACATATCATAGTTTTTTGGTTACACCCACCCAAACCAAAAGGCTGAGCAACCAACAACTGGTATGATATCTTACTAAAGTAGAAAGCTTGCGTATGCAACAATCCATCGTGTCTTATGGGAGGGATAATGTATATTTTGTGAACCAATTTATGATTTGTTTTGGCATTTGCCACTCCTTTGGGTTTTGTATGAAAACATAGCTAAACATGTCTCAGCAGATCCTATAATGTAACTTCAAATTAAGTGTTTGTACATTAAAATTTTGGTCCAACCATAGTATTCACAGTTTCTATTTTGAAGTTTGAAGGATTTACAAATGGAGTTTCATATTCTTTGAATGTTCCCCTTCTTATTCAATAGTTTAACACATGGCCGTTTCTTTCGAGCAGGTTGCCAAACGTTTCTTTGACTGGAATTTGTTGATGCTCTTGTAATCATTGTGGCTCTGACTTGATATTGCTGAAGGAAATAAGATGACATATAATCAGGGTTGTTGATATCCACCCTCATATTTTCATGTGACAAATTGCAAAAAGGAGAGGTCTCTCCTTTGGCTTCGTGCAGACTGAAGTGGCTCTTCAGTTTCTCTACTTGTTTGTCCTCTATCAAAAGGTTTCATGGTTTCAGCCTGACTCCGATGTCACGGATTGGACATTTTATTTACCTACATGCACCTGTATAGAGTTTGCTCTGCACAGAGAAATGTACTGCTTTCTTAACTACCTCTGTATAAAATTTGCTTCTGTTGTTGTTATTATGGACGCATGTTGATCATAGAGTTTAATTGTATATTGAAATGTTTATGACGGTTCATTATATGTGACAGTTGTGCTACTGTTTGTGGTCTAAAATTTTTCTCTTTTGTCCCAAGTATATTGAAGTGTATGGGAGTAGCTCTTCGTCTGCCTCGCTTGAGAATGAAACTTGGTGAAGCATGAGAGCACCCTTTACTGTTCCCTCAACGGGCCTTCTAGATTTTACTTCAGGCTCCTCTCATGCGCTGAATCATGATATCGATGTATACCGATTGGGCCTCAGAATTGATGGGAACTGGTAAGTGATGATTCTTTTTTGGACAAATTTTCAAAATCACCTTTTTTGGCATTTTATATAGCAAAACCGACCCCTTATGAAAATATTCAGCAAAACCGACCATTTTCTTCTGAAAAGGGTCAGCTTTGCCGTCGGAGAAATTTTACGAATTATACGGGACTGCTATTCCCGTGTATTTCTACCCAGCTTTGAATTGCATGGGACTAGCAGTCTCGTGTGATGGATTCCTTTGCCTCTGCTTTAAACACGGGACTGCTAGTGTCGTGTTTTTAGCAGAGAGCTCTGTCACTACAAAAAACAAGTGCACGGCACTGCCAGTCCCGTGCACTTCCTGGTCACAATGAAATGCACGGGACTAGCAGTCCCGTGCATTTCCTGTGCACACATGTGCATGTATTTCTGCTGTGTTGTTGCAATTCCCTGTACAAACTCATATTTCAAATGCAACAATCATAAATTACGCCATTGCATTTCATGTCAATTCCCTGTATAAACGCATATATCAAATCTAAAAATCATAAAATGCATCACAAACTCATACAAATCCAACAAATCACGCCACAAACCCACTTACGAATCCAATAAGTCACACCACAATCTCGGCTACAAATCCAAAAACCATCTATTGTCCCGAAATTCGTTTGTAATGTACATATCAAAATAGGATTGTAATTTATATAACAATAACGATTAGCTTACATACATCCAAGAACTCTTCTCCTCCTCCTTTGTCTTCGGCCTCCTCCATCCCGACCTTCAATGAGTTCATGATCCGGTTGCGTTTGTGGTTGTGACGATCCAGCTCCGTCGTCAACACGTTGGGAAGGCCCAGCTTCATTGTCGTTTCTGCGTCGTCCTCGTCTTTGTCGTGGTTGACGTGTGTATACTAATTACGCTACCTCTCGTCCATCGTGAAGGTCTTCATGAGTTCGATGTAAGGCTTGGTGAAGCCTCTGCATTATCGACTGATATATTGATGCATGTTTCTGTGCTTCGGGATATGTACCTACGAGAGATAATTCAAAAAAATCCGAAATACAAAAATTACTTTAAAATTCAAATTACAATATGTAAATTTCATATTTAATTCTACATTACCTGCTCGAGCCAATTCCAAGCCACGATTTGCAATGGTTTGAACATCATCTATTGCTGATACCTGCAAATTTTTCAAAAAACGTAGTTTAGCAATATTGAAAAATACTAATAAAAATGAACTTAAAATAAATTTGAAAATACTTACTAATTCTCTCTCATCTATACCCCGAGGCACATATCCTCTTTGCAACTCAACCGGGGATGTGGTCGCATGGAGTATTCATCTTCTGGTTATCCCCCAATACCAAGTGTAGTAATCTGATTCCTGAGGAGTTGGCTCAATTTGCTCAACAATACAAAAATGTCTATCATTCCATCTGTGTATATAATTTTGATGCTCAGCTGCCCAGTCCTTTTGTTGGTCTCCTTTCTTCGTCTTCCTCTCTATTTTTTCAACAAATTCCGGGAACATGTTGTGCAAGACCAAATTGTCGAAGCACGCGGTCCGGTACATGCATTTCTACTATCTTGAAACATATTAGAGGAACTCTAGCTCTCTATATAACTGGGTATTCTGTGCATATCGGGGGTAGATGATTGAGAAATTGGGTGTAGGGCTCCCATTCCATCTACAGAGTATAACATATAATTGTTGCATATCATTAAAACGAAAGTTGATATATAGAAGAAAAAACTCATTTTTATTGAAATGATATCTGAAAAATCTTCATGCGGTCAAGCTCATTTCGGTAGAAATCTAATTGTCTAGCCGGAGTCTCGTCATAACATTTTTGGACATTCCATCTGTATTATTTTCAAAATTCATTACTAAAATAATAAGTGCAATTATATTTACTACGTTAAAAAATATAATACCTGCATCCCAGTGGAATTTGTCCGTCTAATTGTAAATTCACGCATAGTCTCGGCTTCAAATGCAGTCTCTCTCATGCCCATACTTGCAGTAAGCTGAGACACCCTTTAAAGTCACTATTTTTCATGAATGCAACTTTGGACATCTCTCTATATAGGTACGCCAAAACTGCACTACCACAAGATAACGCACCACACGTGTCCAAATGCCCGATAAGTGGTAACCACCTAGCATTTTCACAACATTTCAAGTTATCAAAATAAGCTAATTCAATAGGCATAATTGTAAATACTAATAAAAATGATACCTGGCATGCACTTTATCTTTACTCGAATCTGGAAATAATATTGAACTGATCATGTGCATAATGTATGCACGTGCATGTTGCTCAATCAATATTGGTGGCGCATCAAAAGGCAACGGTGCCGAGAAGGTCTCTTTTAGCCACTTCAATTTAATATTTCCTCCAGGCATTGACTCTAGAGCTACACCTAACAACTCCTCACACTTGTCCGGCCAAAAATGTCTATCACTGCCAGTAACGCAAGGACCATCTATGCGGAGACCAGCTACATCCTGTAGCGTAATGGTAGACTCTCCCATTCGGAAGTGGAAAGCATTGGTCTCCGGCCTCCACCTATCTATCAAAGCGGTTAGTAAGGGCCAATCGAGCCTCATCCAACGAAGATTTGAACAAGTCAAGAAGTCGGCCTGTCCTACAGCTGCTATTATGCGCTCATCCTCTAGATGCCAACGGCTATGGCCGAGGCTATGATCAACCATAATAATATCTGAGCCTCTCTGTAAAGCAAATGAATATATAAGAATGCAATATTATAAGAATGCAATATTGAAATTATAAGAAACTTAGTTACCTCTATAAAGGATATAACATGTGAACGGTGTCGAGGCTGGTCATATAGGACCTCATCACTAACCGGTCCAGGCTGCATGGTGTATATACCTGCACATATAATTATAACATATCAATAACCGATCCACGGCTAATTATAGTTTCTATATTAAAATCACAATTTGAATATGTCAATTATTACCAATTAATTGCTATTTGTTGGGTCTAGCTGGACAACGAGGTCGAGTATGTCCCGGTTGTTTGCAAAGACTACATTTTTTATGCTTGACAATTCCTTCTCGTCCTTGATCCATGGTTGCCCTAATTCGCACAGATCGTGGTCGACCTGCTTGTCTCTTGTATTAAGGTGGAATTAGTCGTGGTCCAGTATATTCGGGGCAATGCCGACTATCATCGGGTGGATGAAAACTCTCATTGTATGCCTTTCGATAATGAATTGTTGAATACCATGGTGAACAATACCGATTATATGGAATTCTCGCACCACCCGGCTGATTGGCTAGGGATAGTACTTTTTTAGGAACTTCCCATTTATTGGCATTAATTGCCTGGCGCCCTCTTGAGTAATTAGGCGATATGCGCCATTTGAGTAGACTATATCTATCACAAACGGGCCTTCCCATTTGGGTTCGAATTTACCTTTCTTCTTGGAGGTGTTGAATACCATGGTGAACAATACCGATTATATGGAATTCTCGCACCACCCGGCTGATTGGAAGAAGCCGCAAGAACATGTGCACAAGGTATTTTTTGGAGTTATGGTATGTTACATATGCAAGTGCAATCAACATCAAACAGATTAACGGTGTAGATACCGTCATAATCCTGTATCCGCCATTCATTGTTATTGAATATAGTAATTTGACATAATCTTGCCACCTTAATTCTTCTATGCAAAATAGACTTATTTTTTGGTGTGTAACGCGTTGTCCAGTCTACGCCATCCTCACGCCTTTTGTTGAAGTATGAGTTTAGCCTATAGAACGTTCTTGCAACCAATGATTGTATTGGTCGTGTTCCTTTAAGAACGCTGTTAAAGCTCTCGGAGGAATTAGTTGTTATCATGCAAAACTGCACACCCTCATCCTTACATAATCCTCATCGATGATCGAATTGAGGCTTCAAGTTATGTTCAATCCAATTATGTACATCTAATGACAAAGACTTGATTTTCTCTATACAATGTTCATACACTAATGTATCGGTTGCACACCCAGTTTGCCACAAAAAAATTTGCAAATTAATCTCACCGTGCTTTTTTTTGAAATTATCTCTTATATGCCTTAAACAATATTGATGGTGATGTGGTTCACCAAAACCCTCATGTAATGCCCTTATAATTCTTTTCATCCTATCCGAGATGAAAGTAATTAATCTGGGCTCACGGACACTAGGAATCCACTTGTACATAAGTTCAAAGAATCACTTCCAACTAGAAGTATCCTCTACCTCCACAACTGCAAATGCTAGAGGAAATAAATCGCCATTTGTATCTACACCGGTCGCCACAAGAAGCACGCCTTTTACTTGCCATATAGTTACGTATCGTCAATGCTTAATAACGGACGACAAAAAGTGAAGCCCTTAATAGCAGGACCAAATACCCAAAATATTCGAGTGAACCTCTCCATCCCTGGTGCAATCTTTTCAAATAATATTTCATATTCAGTATCCGGATTATTTCGCTTGATAGCTTCAAGATACTGTGGAAGTAATTCATAAGATTTTTCCTAATCTCCAAATATTTTAGACAACGCTTTCCTCCTTGCATCATATGCCTTATATTTAGATATCTTAATGTCCCGCATATCATATACCCTATGAAATATCTGACTTGCATTTAGATCAAGTTCAGCTCTAACTTCAGGCATACTTAGCTTACATATATAAGAGGAAGATGCAGAATAATCATCGACATCCACCGATGGATTGCAACATGTATGAAGCCCGCAATATCTAAATATTACAAATTGCTCATTTGATGATTTCCTCACATCTGCATTTAGAAACCAAGGACATTTCCTATTTCTCTCATCTTGTTCATTTGCATGCTCTACTTCATTCTTCTCGTTGAAATAACATTTTACATAGTAGTAGGTTGCATTAGTTTTTACAGGCTTGAATTTGACCCGATTTTTTATAGACCATTCTCGAACCGCAAAGATCAATGCTTCCTTGCTCTCGAATAGGTCCCCTTTTTTAAAAGTGAAGTCCTCAGGCCGTTGAAAATTTGGACCAACATCAACAAATTCGCTACCCGGTGACGCGTGTTAGGCGTAAGCTTATCTCTATTTAGAGATCGAGATAAAGTCTCACATGCATGAAAGACAAGGATTTTGGTGCTACGATGGTGAATATGTAGGCTTTGTCGTTGTTTCTTCCTGTGTTATGTTTTTACTTGAAACACTGAAAGAAAGTTAGAAGTGTCATAGGTGTAATATTAACTTGGCATGAATTTTTATTTAGAGTGAAATTCAAAAAAAAAATTATTATCACTAGGATAATTCCAGAAAATATTTAATCCACTGGGGATTTTATAATAAAAACTTGTTATCTTGTTGAAAAAGGATTAACAAGTTCATTAGGGGGTTTGACTGTTAGAGGTGTGATGTTAACATAACAATATTTTATGGGCCTATCGCTCTATTGAAGATAGTCAATAAGTTGATTTGGTCGTCAGATGTGTGATATTAACTTGACGGGCATGTGGATCTTTCGCTCTATTGAAGAGAGTCGATAAGTTGATTGTCAGCGGTGTTTTGTTAACGTGATAAGATTGTGGACCTATCGCTCTATTGAAGAGAGTCGATAAGTTGATCGGGTCATCAAAGCTGTTTTGTTAATGTGACAAGATTGTGGACCTATCGCTCTATTGAAGAGAGATGATAAGTTAATTGTCAGAGGTTTGGTGTTAACATGACGGGAATTTGTTACGATTGGAGAAACTTTATGGACTTATCATCCTATTAAAGAGGATTAATAAGTTGATTTGTCAGAGGTGTGATATTAACGTGACAGTAATTTGCTACGATCGGAGCAACTTTGTGGACTTATCATCTTATTGAAGAGAGACGATAAGTTAATTGTCAGAGATTTGGTGTTAACATGATGGGAATTTGTTACTATCAGAGCAACTTTGTGGACTTATCATCCTATTAAAGAGGATTGATGAGTGGATTTTATCAGAGGTGTGGTGTTAACGTGATAGGATTTTGTACTTGTGATTTGAACAAGATTTTGAAGACTTAGCGTCTTGCTGAGGAAGATTGTGATTTGAGCAATTTTGAGGACCTATCATCCAATTGAAGAGGATTGATAAGTTAATTGTCAGAGGTGTATTATTAACGTGACAAATTGGGAGTGATGCAAACTGAATTCATACTCCGTGGGGGTGATGATCGTCAGAAGTATAATGTTAACTCGATGATGTGAAAGATTCTTTACTCTTAATCCAGTTAGTTTCAAGTAACCAACCCCCAGTCTTGATTAAGACTTAGCAGGGAAAGAAAAAGAGAGGTAGACATGACATATCGCCTTGTGGGGCACTATCCATCAAGTCGGAATAGAGGCCCATCACCTGGTAGGCTACTATCTGATGAGTTTGACTATCAGAGGTAACCGTTAACGTGATAGTTTTGATAGACCCGCCATCCTACTAAAGAGGATTGGTGAGAGAATTTGGAGAAAATGGACTATCAAAGGTGATCATTAACGTGATAGTTTTTGCGGACCCACCATCCTACTTGAAGAGGATTGGTGGGGGAATTTGGGGAAATGGACTATCAGAGGTGTATTGTTAACTTGATAATTTTAGCGGATTTCATGGTTAACAGAGGTATTCTATTGAACATGATAACTCAGAAAATTTATTACTCATAATCCAATGAGCTATAAATAAACCAACCTCCGGTCTTAAACAAGCGCAGGGGGGAAAAAGGGTAGACATGGCACCTCGCCTAGTGGGTCACTATCTATCGAGTTTGACTATCAGAGGTAACTGTTAACGTGATAGTTGTTGGACCTGCCATCCTACTGAAGAGGATTGGCTTCAGTGGTCGTAGTATCTTCCCCTTCTGACTGAAAAGATTGGACTTATATCCTGCCTACTTTGTTCTTCAGCTTTGATCCTGACAATAATCTTTTGAGCTTGTTCACCTTTAGAGATCAGTTGTCTCTAGGAACTGTATTCTGCAACCCTCATTTGTGCTAGAAAGTCGGTCTGTAAGTTGTGTTGACGGGTCTCCACTAAGGTAGACTGCGTCATACCTGACAAACATCGAAGAGCCATGCTTCGGAACCTCTTGACGAAGGCTTTGACGGACTCCTTATTCTTCTACTTAGTGGTAAGAAGGGTATGGATGGAGACTTCTGTATCCTCTTCAAAGAATATTGACAGGAAGAGTCTCTCTAGATCTGCCCACTTTTGAATACATCCCGCAGGCAGTTTCCTGAACCATTCAAAAGCAACTCCTTTGAGGGTGCCAATGAACAATCGAGCCAGTATGGCGTCATTTGATATCACATTCCCAGTCTGTGACTTAAAATGATAGATATGTTGGTTTAGTGTTCCTGTGCCGTCAAAAGTTTGTAGCGCCGGGACATCAAATTTTGGAGGATAAGGGGTTACATCCCATTCCGCGGGATAGGGCCTGGCAACTCTCTCACCTTGGAGCTCGCTTCTGTTAGCAATGGCATTGAGGCGAGCTTCCAATTCTTTCATTTTAGCCGATTGAGGATTCTGCTTATTCTCGGCTTCTTTCTCTTCTTCAGATGAAGAGACTATGTGATGAGCTTCTTGATCAGAGGTGTCGTTCACTTTTTATTTCGCCTTCGATGTGGACGATCCTCCTTTCCGGGAGTGAGATTGTGACTCAGCTTTCTGGAAATTAGCTCTATTGGTAATGATCCGATCCATCATATCCCGAAATTGATTAATGGTTTCCTGTTGTGCTCGGAGCATGGCCTCCTGCTCAGCGACCCTCTTTGAGAGATCTTCAGAATTTTCTGTCATGTGGGCGAAGCTCTCATGTCCAACGAAAGAGCTTGATGATTGGGACTCCGCAATGGCTGAGTGTTCATCATCGGAATTGGTTCATTTAGCTAACCTCCGATAGTTGACAGAGGGAATGGCTCCTATTCACATCCGAGTGTGTTGGTAGATTCCTTCAAACTCGTTAGCGATTTCTCTGACGTTTGGAGAACGATCCGTATCTGACTTATCAGAAGTAGGGACTGACGATTTCTCTCTACCGATCACATTGATAGTGACTCCAGGATACTCGGGCTCTGAAGACTTCTTCTTGTAATGACGTCGTCGCTTGCTTGATTGAGCAATGCTCGTCAATCGGTCGAACAGTGATCGCCTAGGCACAGATGCGTAACAGTGACATTTCGAGAGAACTGCAGAAATAAGCCGCTCACATTGACATGAATGAGTTGTTTGTCGCACAGGTCTTCCTCTTGACAACAATTCCCGCAAGTCGAAGATTTGGGATGAATCTCTCACAAAGCGTGAGGACAAAGATAGAACCCCCTGCCCGTTAATGGGTAGAACTGGTTCTTGTTTAACATGGATCTTGAATCTACGTTGATCTTTTTGAACACGACGAATCGTATCGCGTTCCAAAGAAGGAACACGAGGTTCGTGTTTAGCTTGATTAACGCTAG